GTTTCTCTAACAAGTTTATCAATAAAGATAAGAGCAAAACCTCACCTTAAAAAAAAAAAAAAAAAAAAAAAAAAAAAATCAATTACAAAAGCATTAGCCCAAATTGAAAATTATTTAATTCAAAATAATTTAGCTTTATCTAATTATCTAGACCTTCTAATATCTGATTATTCTTTACTTGAAAATAATCAACAACCTAATTTAATTACTGAAGAATTAAATTATAATCAAGATGAAATTAATTAAGTGATCAGAAATTAATTTTTGATACTGTAATTAAATCAATTAATGATGAAATTAATCAAAAATTATTTTTTGTTGATAGACCTGGAGGGACTAGAAAAACATATTTATATAATATGATCTTAGCTCATATAAGATCATTAAATAGAATTGTAATTGCTGTGGTATTATCAAGAATTGCTACTTTATTAATAAGTAGTAGAAGAACTGCTCATTCAAGATTTAAAATTCTATTACAAGTAACTGAAAACACTACTTTAAATATTGAAAGATAATCTAATTTAGCTAAATTAATTCAGAATGCTAAAGCAATATTATAGGATGAAGCACCAATACCAAATAAATTATTATATGAAGCAGTTGACAGAATATTTAAAGATATTACTGGAGTTGATGAACTATTTGGAAGAAAAATAATTATTTTTGATATGACTTTAGATAAATACTTCCTATTATTATTAGAGGAACTAGAGAAAAATTGTTAATTCATGTTTAAAATTTTCTGATTTTTGGAAATATTTTCAAACTATGAAATTAATAATTAATATGAGAGTTTAACAACAAAATGATTCTGAACAAAAAAATTTTGTTGATTTTCTGTTACAAGTTAGAAAAAGAAAAATATCTGTTTATTCTGATATTGGTAAAGATATTATAAAATTACCTAATACTATTGTTTTAGATAGTGAAAATATTAATAATTTAATATCTGAGATCTTTAATGATATTAAATCTAATTATAAAAACAAAAATATCTTAGAGACAGAGCAATTTTTATATCAAAAAATATTGATGTTGAACAAATTAATCACTAAATATTAGATAAAATATCTGATGATGAGGAAGGAATTGAATATTTATTAGCAGATTCTGTTGAAGATAAAGAACAAGTTGATTAGAGTCTTTATCCAATTGAATTCTTAAATACATTAATACTAAATAGAATGCTATTTCATCAACTAATATTAAAAAAGAATACTTCTATAATTCTTTTAAGAAATCTTAACCTAACTGAAAGATTAGTTAATAGTACAAGATTAATAGTTAAGGAGTGTTACTATTATTTAATTGAAGCTGAAATATTAACTGGAATTTATCAAGGAAGTAGAGTCTTTATACCAAGAATAAGATTATCACCAAGTAATGCTAACCTTTTTCAATTAGTAAAGAAACAATTTCTAATTAAATTATCTTTTGCAATGACTATAAATAAAGCTCAAGGTCAAACAATTCTAATTATAGGTTTATATTTGTCTAAATCTGTTTTTATATATAGGTAATTATATGTAGCTTTATCAAGAGTCTAATCAAAAGATAATATTAAAGTATTAGTTAATAATAGTTATGTTGAAGAAAAAGATAGTGTATACACTAAAAATATTATATATAAAGAAGTTTTTCTAAAAAATTTATATATATTTTTAAAAGTATTCTTTATTTAATTTGTATATAATATTGAATTAATTTGTATATAATTTGTATATAATTT